CCCCAAAACCCCAAAACCCCAAAACCCCAAAACCCCTAAATCTTTTAACAAACTTGAAAATGTGTAGCATAAAACTTTGATTTCTTCCTCTAAGCCAATGTTCTACTTGATTCCCAAAAATAGATGGCTGGGCCCCACCTGGCTACTTCTCTTCATACAAAAGAGAGGTTTTCACTGCAGAGAAAAAGGTATGATTAGTGGAGAAGGTGGGAGTCATTTATGCCTGAAAATTATAGAAAACTCTGTGAGAAATTGAGGTGTAAGGGAAGAAATTCCTCTTTTTAGATACGAAAAATACACATATAGCATCCTTATGGCGAGATGTGTTAATTGAAGGTTTATACTTTAGGTGATTTAGAGATTGATAACAAGGGGAATTTTGATAAGAGAGATAGCCTAGATGAAGTCTTGGATAAGATCAAAATATAACCCTGATATCTACAATGTTTCAGAATTCACATAATTTTTAAAAGATTTCAAGTCAAAATTTGACCAAAGAAAAAGTATTTCAAGTAATGGGATTCACTCATTTCTAAGATGTAAGAAAAATAAAGTATTGTTAAAGGTCTGAATGTTAACTATTAGGTGCTAGGCATTAGACATAAGATATTAAGAGAGTATAAATTCTATTAAAGCCTAAGCATATTTTACAAAGCTTAGACAGAGTTTAAAATCAATCTCTAACAGCCTAATCAGGAGTCTTCCTTTCTCTTATAAATCTTCGACTCAAGGCTCACTTTATGTCTTGGATCTTTATCTGTCATTTGTTCATATTTCGAATTCTTATTATCATAAATCTCTTGAAGCAGGTTTTCAAATCAGTCAGACACTCTATGGTTCTGTACAGATGAAGTTTCTTCAAATAGCATTTTGTTCTTCTCAGCAAACAACTTGGCTTCTTCTTTGGCAACTTTTCTCCTGGTCCTGTTCTTAAGGACAATGTCAAGTTTTGTTCCAACAAGCATTATAACGACATCGTCATCTGCATTTTCTTTTAACTCTTGAACCCAGTTCTGCACATTGTTGTAGCTAGACTCATTGGTGATGTCATAAACGACCAGAGCTCCAGCTGCTCTTCTGAAATGAGCTCTAATGATGGCCTTGTATTTCTCCTGACCAGCTGTGTCCCAAATTTGTGCTTTGACAGTTCCTCCATCTTTCAATTGAATTTTCTGAGTGGCAAACTCCACTCCGATCGTATTATGGACATCTTTGGGAATTTCACCGTGAATGTAACGCATGAGCATGTAGGTTTTGCCTACATTTACATCACCCACGAGAACTATTTTGTAAAGGTAATCTGACTCCCGTTCCATCTTAGATTCTTAAATTATTATTCTATTTTTAACTTTCTTCCCGGGGTTTTGGGGTTTTGGGGTTTTGGGGTTTTGGGG